CAATCTATTATTGAAATAATAATCTAGCTAAAGATTTCAGAATTAAATTGGGACAACATTAAAATATATTGTAGAGAATATAGTTGCTTTTCATTTATTTAAAAACTCAGATAAATCCCGCATCTGTATTTTTTTAACATCCACACAGAAAAAAAAGGAATCCTTGATTCAAGTATATTTTTATTCTTGAACGCTATTTGATTGATTTAAGTATAGAATGCTCTTTGTAATCACAAATTTTCATTTGCCTTAATAATAAATAAGTTTGTGTAAAGTATATTTTATCCTTAAGATATATTCTTGTTTTAAAAATCGCATATGGTAAAAACAAACTTAGTCACATTTGAACTAAAAATTATTATATATATTTGAAAGTACCGCTTATATCTGATGCTCACTTGTCCTTGCAATATTTATAAGTAAATTTCAGCTTCAACCAAGAATATTTTGCACTTTGTTTTAAGGATAAATTATCCTTTATCCAAAATTATTTATATTTGGCGCTATTATAAAAATAAGATATACTTGAATCAAAGCATATTTGCATTCTTTCAAGGATACCGTTTTTTCTGTGCACGTTCAAGAAAGACAGAAGTGAGATTTATCTGAGTTTTGATGTAAATGGAAAGCGCAACCAATATGCGTGAAAGAAAACATTATAAATATGATTTACGTTACCAAAATTGCGAATAAAGCAGTCGACTTTGTCGCGACACCTGTTTCCTCGACGAAAATTAAAAATGGATACATTCGCGCGAGGAAATTGCAGAGGTCGCCATTGTTCATTGAAAGGATTAAAATCCACGCGCGCCTGGGATATGGCGCGCCGTTCGCTTACTTACAAGGAACAGAGTCCCTTTTTTCTTTCTTCGTGCCGTTTCTCGACCGTCTTTGTGCCTTGTCTTCCGTTCTCACTTCAACCTCCGTCCCGCTTTACCACCCTCTCTCTCTCTCTCTCTGTGTGTTCTCCGGAGAGGCCACGACCAGCAATCAACGTAATGCACCCGCAGACACACCCTTACCTATCCGCGTCTCCAGACGCACACAGACGCGAGACGACGAACACCAGCGCCGTCGCATACCAAGGCAAACGGCCAAGGGTACATATCCCTAGGCCAAAGGCCCCCGATAGCACGAGGGAGCCCCGGAGTAATGCAGACGCAATGGCAATCTCTTCGAGAGCAACGAAATAAATTGTAGGACGTAGACCGATAGCGCAAAACCATTGCGGTAACTAAGCGCGCTTGCTTTTTTCCCGCCAAAACTTTTCGCGGAAATGTTGCCCGTAAGTTTTTACTCGTCCCTGGCGATGCGTGATCCTTGTGATAAGCGTTGAAAAGTTCACAACTCGAACCAAGTTCGAGAAATTCATTGCGCGCAGATGCTTTCCGTTCTTTGCGAGGATTTGTGGAATTATTGAATCGAGAGAGAAGAGAGAGAGAGAGATTCGACCAGCTCATTCCGAATTCGAAAAGTGCCTCGCGGCTTGTTCTGCCCTAAGAGCGATGGTAGCCTTCGCGTGTGTGTGTTTGGGCCGATTTGTGGTGGCTCGGTTAGTTTCCCGGGATATCGGAAAAGTTAGTATGCGTGTGCCTCTTCGTGGACATGGACGACGAAGCGCGCGCTCGGGAATTCTGGATAACTTAGGCATAAATCTCGCGTTACTCCGAGATACGCAGGGTATCCCGGAGAAAATAAGATACATGAGCCCCTTTACTATCTCTATAACGAGAAAAATAGTGAGATTGATCTCTATCATTAATTTTTGTTATCGTCGTATATTTAATTAATTTTGAGTGAATACAATTTTCCAAAATTGTGAGATTTCGATCTTTATCATCATGGGCGTCCGCAGGATTTTTTTTTCCAGGACGGAACATAATTAAATTTTTTTTATTTCCTATTTATTGTTTTTTCTTAATTTTTTTTGAATTTATTTTTCTTTTATTTTCATTTTTTTTTATATTAAATATGCAAATAAATTTCAGTGTTTATTCAAAAGGAGAACAAATGCTTAATTTTTTTACTGATTCCAAGGGGGCAAATGCACCCTCTTGTCTCCCTCTGCGAACGCTCATATGTCTATCATTACTTCTTCATCGTATATTAATTTTGATGAGTAAAAAAATTGTTATCGTTTCAAAAATGCATAACGATATAAATAATTTACACTTATTTTAAATGAAGCAAGGCTCGATAATCTCCAGACGAATAATATTATTGTAATTGACTTTGAAGAAGTTTCGTGCATGCCGAAAACATCTTCCTAATTTCCCTATGAAAGATTGACTGCAAACATTCTCTAAATAAATCTATTAAATAATTTACACTTATTTTAAATGAAGCAAAGCTCGATAATCTCCAGACGAATAATATTATTGTAATTGACTTTGAAGAAGTTTCGTGCATGCCGAAAACATCTTCCTAATTTTCCTATGAAAGATTGACTGCAAACATTCTCTCTCGTGACAATTCATGGACATTTTGTAATATGGTGGAATGAAAAGGCAGTTACTTGAGAGAATGATATGAGATATGATATGAGATATTAATCCAACAATGACCTAAGACGTTAATTCGTACTGATAATATATACTAGACGTCGTTTCACCTTATACAACGGGCATGAGCGCCAGTGAACTCATTATTCTTCTTGTCCTGGAGGCGCATATACCCGTTCTTCGTCTACGCGCGAATAATCTTCGTCAGGATTTCACCATTGTATTATTGTGTCTGCCACCGGGTGATAAACTGCGCATTCCGCAGGGAACACCGCTTCGCTCATTACTAATATAGTCGCACGACGGCGTCCTATCGTAGTTAACGGAGCTTTCATTGCGTCCCTGGAGGAAACCGAAGTTAAGCACTCGTCCGCTTCAAAGCAAGACCGTCTCTCGCGAGGATTCTTCATAAAAAGAATCTTGGATACTTGGATTGAGGATAATCGCAAGTGGCGTAATATTTTTATGACAGAAGGGGCGAGACTGAAAAAATTAACTGTGAATATCTTCAACGAAATCGATATGATTACACGCTTCCTTACGGATCCCCAATTTCTACCTGCCACTTTTTTTTCCGAAAAAAAAATTAATAAAATCTAAAAATAAATGCCTTGGTTAAAATTGTAAAAAGAACTTTTCAATTAATTTGTTTACTGCAATTTGATTGCATATACAGTATCTTCCATACAGTATCGTAAAATATTTAAATGACATTTTTATTTATGACAGATCGCTGCCATGAGATTGTTTAACGGTAAAATGTAAAGTGTTTTCAAACTTGTGAAGAATACTGTATGCAATAAATAACAAATCTCCATTTATAAGACTGTTCTTTTTTATCACGATTAATAATATTTCAAATAATATACTGATAAAAAACATCCCATTAAATTTATATTCTTGCATGTTACGAATATCTAATTAAAGAATATTTCTTTAAAGAATTTTTCTCTTAAATTAAGAGAATCCTTTTGACAGATCTGTGCAGATTTTTTGTATAAATAAATCCTAAAATAAACGTAAAATATTTAAATGACATTTTTATTTATAACAGATCACTGCTATGCAATTCTTTAACTGTAAAATATAAGGTGTTTCCAAACTTATGAAGGATACTGTATATACATATGTGATTATTAAATTGGATATTTTGGTTCAAAGTTAAATATGAAAATAATGCAGGTAAAAGAAGAGAGTCTCTTGATACATTCTTAATCTAATAATAATTTTTCATGGATCGGGCTGATTTAATCGGAACAAAGAAGTAGTTTGCAACGAACTTAATATCTTCACTAGCAATATACAGGCGAACACGACGGTGCTAATTTAAGACAGTGGACCGCCGGCGGATTACGGAAACTCGTTAACCAAGTAATACCTTTAAACGACGTTTTAAACGAAGCTTTTTCGCTGCACGTTCTACCACAAACTACCACAAACTTATAGATAGAACAATCCGACCTCGACCGACGATATACACTGTATATAATGGCCGTCGCGATAACGTATCGCGTGAAGCTGGATGAACGAAAAGAATGAACGGCTGAGAGAGGAGAGAAATCAATCTCTTATCGCGTTGAACAAAAAAAAAGTGCAAACAAGTACTCGCGAAATTTTTAATGGAAATTTTAAAACACAATTAATTATACGGGGTTAATTATGCATAATAAAAGTAAAAAAAAAATCGACATACACAAACAGCGGTACAAAATATCTCGAGTTAAACTATAAACAGAACTTTGGATTGTTATAGAAATTTTTAATTAAACTTTCGAGAGAAGGAACAAGAGAAAGCTTTCTCGATTTCGCGGGAGAGAAAAGATTGTTTTAAGGCGCGAGGGAAGTAAAGGGAATTAAAGAGCGACCGCATGCAGAATCGATCGCTGAATTACAACCGCGTTATGACGGCGAAACTTGCTAAGTCCGCACTTTTCTGGCGATGGCAGCGAAATTAATCCGCGCGAAAGAAGAGTCGAACGACACCAACGACGGCTACCGGAAGCCGATGATTCATTTCGGGGGTAGTGAATGCTGGGTTGAAAATGGGCAGGATGTACCGAAAGAGGATTCCGGTAACGAGAAGCGATCGTCATAACCCAGAGATCCGTCGATTTAAAAATGTGCTGACGTGCGTGGAACATCATTTGGAAAATTTGTCGGCGAAAAAATTATTTCTTCTTCCTTCATTAATTTCTTGGGACTCCTATTAATCTCCGATCGCAATTTTTTCAATACGCATGCGTATATTATTTCCTTAAGCTACATATTCCAATATCGAATTGTTGTATGTAAAATATCATATTGAAATCTTTAAGTAGAATCGTATTTTTTTTTACATATGATAAATTAATTCTTGTCTTTTATATGTGTGAAAATGTTAGAATCAAATTTTGAAATGTGAACACATTTTTTCGAGATAAAAGAAAGAGTACACATAATTAAATATATATAAAAATTATATTTTAATAATTTCAAAAAATTCTGTTTTTTTTTGTTTAGCCGATAGGTATGCATTTGAAGAAATACGAGTGGGTAGGCTCGCCAGACATCGGTGACTGCTCGTTGTGGGTAAGATCGGCCACTTTGGAGTTCGATGACGGACTCTGGCAGTGTCAAGTGACCGCAAGTGATTTCACGACGCAAGACGCGTTAGCATCCGAACCAGCGAGGCTGGTCGTCAGAGGTAAACGAGACTTCCTATCAATAATATTTTTTATCTATATATTTAAAAAGAATTATTCTCTAATTAGCAAAAGAAGAAACGAAAATGTTTCGATAACGTTCTCCAAACATCGTACATCATTACTTTTCTCAGTTTCTCATTGTTTCAATAACATTAGTAAAGACAGGTGCATTGAGCATTTTCGAGCAGCAGTGATTATAATGTTGCACGCGCGTATTGTGCGCCAGAGTAATAACTAAGTAATTCGATACGAAATCGAATCGCATTCGGCTGAATCGAGCCAGCTTGTTTTTCCACGTTAATAATCAATACTAAGATAATTGATTTCGATAGCTCGCGCTTAATGGAACTGCCGATTACGATTGCTAGGCTATTCGTGTATCGCGCGAAATAATTCGCGTAACCCAATGAATACTCGTATACGGATTCGAACTTTGTCATTATCGCTATTCTCGTAATTACGATATCGTACTTCGTGAAATGTGTTTTATATATTTTTTCTATTTTATCGGTGAGCGATATTTATGACAGATTAATGTTTCTCGTCCGGGAATAGTACGTTACACCGAATATAGCCCGATTAGTCGTGCAAAACCATCCCGACGATTCCCTCGATGTTACATTCGCTTGGTAATCTCACGACACAATTAGCAATGAAGCAACGGGATTTATTTCTGCGCCGCGGAAAATGGAGTTTGCTACGGGACGGAAATTTCTGCGTCTTTTTTTTTAATCCTTACATCTCGCGATAATCGGTTGCAGTATATCTGCACGTTTAAAATAGCGACCGACAATCTGAGCGTATCGATATTTTATAGTTTGTATATTAAAAGATTAAAATTCGATCGCGCAAAAGATAGAGTGCGATCAAGTCTCCGTAGAAAAAATCTTCCCTTTTTTTTCACAACCTTCAATTTAACTAAACGACGACTTAAATGAAAATTTATCTCTTTGGAACGCTTGCTCGTCTCGACATAATATTTTTTAAAGCCAATCTACAAGTCGTAAACTTGAATTTAAACCATCATTTAGATCTCTCTTTATTTTTCTGCGATGTCCTGAATTTGTACGCGAGAAAATAATGATTATGGAGCTTTCGGTCATATATTTCAAGATTTCCCTCGTACATTATATCGCGCGGTGATTTCGCCCGGGGTTAAAAGAACATTCGATGGTATCTCGGAGACACCGTGTATAGGACGGTGCGAGCGGCGGCATACGGCTGGATTAATCCGTACTAATTTTCTCATTCCAGTCAGCCCTCAGCGACCGCAGATAGAGTACACCGACCGTCTAATTCTCCCCGGCAGCAACGTGACAGCCCGAGCAGGTGAGATCGCTACGCTCACTTGCAGAGCGCGGTATGGGAATCCTTCGCCTCTAATTAAATGGTTCGTAATTGTTGCACGTAGATTCCGTACTACTTAACTTGTGCGCCGCCGACCCTCTTGTTCGGGGCGCGCGCGCGCGATCTCTCGCTCCTCGCGTGTCTCGCTACTCTCGCTCTCTCGTTTCCCGTCTTCGTCGTCACGTTCCTTCCGCTCGTTTGCTCGCTCGTCGCGAGCGTAATTATTCAGCGATTTCAGACTTATGAGCTCCCCCCGAATTAATTGGAATATATTGATAATCAAGAAAAAGGGAGAATCCTCGTGCGATTAAATCGCTTATGATTTTAATCTAATATTTACGAGGAATATCTGAGATTTATAAAAACGTACGTTTTTATATATATACACAGGGTGTATGTAAATAAGTATGAACAATTTTTAGAGATGATTCTTTCTCGAAAATTAAGAGGAGTTTCTTATATAAACATATGCTCTTTTATATGGACATTCATGAGGAGTTGCACTTTTCTAAATAGGGAGGTAAACGTTGGGTTTTCAGACAAATTTAAAAAATGAAACGAAAAAGTTTCACTAAATTGAATTTTTTAAATTTGAAAAAAAATTTAATTCTCAGAGAGGGATATAAGAGTGTATATGTTTATATAAGAAACTTCCCTTAATTTTCAACAAAAATTTTCTCCTAAAATTTGTCGCACTTATTTAGATTTATCCTGTATAATGTTATTTTGCATCAACTTATTTATTTAATTTCCCTTTTTTACTCTAAAATTCTAGTAGTTTGAAATTTTATTTTACGATGACTTAACGTCGGTTAGTGAATGTTTTGGGCTCGATCGCGCGCAAGTGACCCATGTCTTAGATGATAAAGGTATGAATTACTATCGATTTCGAGGCATCTCCAACCGTGGTGCACGCCTCCCCTTCGACCACCGTTGAAGCCCTTTGGGTTTGTTCTCGTTGCTCGAAGATTCCACGTAATGCATCGAGGACGCTGATGTCGATAGCAGAACATGCGCTCCATGAATAATCATGATCCGTTCTGCATCGTGCCTGGACGAAATTAAGCAGCTATACATGATGCATTTCGTGCGATCCGACGAGAAAATGTCAGACACGAGTCGTGAGTCTCACGCGAAGACAAGGCGGAATTTTCTTAGAATCCGACGTCGTCTTCGCGACTTTCCGCTCGCTATTTTCGAACGTGTAGCAAGAGTTTGCGGAAAGAGTTTAATAGTTTTACGAAGTAAAAACTAGCGACAGAGGAAAAGAGAGAAAATGTGTGTCTCTATCTCTCGGCTTTAAACCTGCAATTTTCGGTTAGCAGGACGACGTCCGTGGAGCGTCGAGCCATGCTCCAAATTGTAGACGGGATCCCTTGACAAGGCGACCGTTCTCCGACTGCCTCAGTCCTCAGGGTTCTCTCTCGCTTACCCACTTACTCACTGGGAATTATCCTAATTGACATACGCAGTGCGATGCGGAATATGAGTATGCATAAACGTGTTAATTATGACCGAAGAGGGCGAGGCTGTGCGAGACAGCCGGCGCACAATCGACGGCAAGTATCGAATTTTCATCCCAAGAACACAATCGTCGACGAACGAGATAGCTGTCGTACTAATTATTACGTCATTATCGTTACCGTTGTTGTCACGTCCTCTCTTCGCGATGTAGTATGATCGTTATTTAATCCTTTGTTATATTACACCCAAAGTATCTCGCTTTGAAACATTCGCACCTTTTTCACGAGCGTATCGGATAGCTTGTTGTGTTTAAAAATTGCTTTCTAACTGACCTAGCAAACATTTCCTGTACTTAACCCTCGGACAGTCACATACGAAGCAGACATCGGGTGAATTTCTCGCAACATTATTTTTGAAGAAAAATATTTGGCAAAAAGTGAAAAAGTAAAATAAAAATAAATTGTAAAGTATATGTTGAAAAATTTAGTCCGTATGACGCATAAAAAAAATTGAGTCAGAGTTCTTGATACGTCATATACGTATAAACTTTTATATATACATATTTTACTTTATATTACATTTTTATTTTATATTTTCAATTTTTGTCAAAAATTTTTCTTCAAAAAATAATGCTGGTACACAATTAAAGAAAAAATAACATTTAAAATAACTAAAAAAACGGTATATTTTTTAAAACATATAAATAAAAATTCTAATTCAATGTATAATACATGAAATATCTATTTCAATTATTGCACGGGCATTACAAATATATTGCAAATATTTTTTTATTTTATATTTCGCATTATATTTGTGTTAGTCGATGTATGATATTTTAAATAATTTTCCAAAAGAAAGAGACGGGCGATAGAAAGATAGAGCCGCTATGACTCGAGTAACGTTATACTCGCCGAAATTAATTTTCATGCTACTAAACTCCGACATAAAAAAATTTTAAAGTGAATATGAGAGACGTGACGTTTGCCGGTCGGGGATTAAAAAGTAAAAGAGTAGTTTAATGAATAATGAATAAGCTCTTAAATATATATTTTGAGAAAAAGTTTGCAAAAAGAAATTCAAAATCGCGTGGATAATTTTTAAACTAAATTTAATATGCAACAGAATTCAACGAGAATCAATCTACTCTCCTCTATTTTCACGGAACATTAAATTTATTTAACAATCCATAAGAAATTCACCGGATAAAATATTTTTATATTATCTTTATTGTCGCATTATTATAATAACTGCGCATTATAAGAGGCTCTATTCACGAGAGTGGCGTCGTTTATCGGAGCAAAACTCCAAGATTTCCGAAGAGCTAAACTCGGAATAATCTGCGACGATGAGCCTCGGTAAGGAGGTTTGGCAAACGAGAGGGAAGCGCGAGAGAGACCCTAGGAGAACCGAAAGAGACAGAGGAAAGAGAGAGAGAGAGAGTGACGTTAACGGAGAACGTGCGCGCATAAGATAGAGCGATTCGCGCGCGGCCCGAAGAGGAGGCTGACGAGGAAGGGAGAATGTTGAAGGGGAGCGAGTAAGAGTTGTTGCAGAACAGCCATTGGAAATGCAAATTTTCCGGGTGATATGCAGGTACGTGGGCGAGACCGAGCTGAGGACGTTGCGGCCTCAGGTAAACTCAACCGAGATAGATAATCCGCGCACTTGGGCGACCTACAGTATTTGCGAGATTTTGGCCGAGCGATCACGTTACGGCCAGCCGATCAGATGCGTCGCCATTCATCCGGCGTACGCCAATCCTACCATGTCGTCCAGCACCGAAGTGAGGTTCGACGTACGATGTGAGTACAGACTTCATTTTTTCTAAGTTTCGAGAAAGTATTCATTATATACGTATCCTTAGATGCTAGCGCGAAAAAGAGAGATTTATTTAAATATATCACAATATAAGGAAATATGATAGTTTATGGTAATATACTATACAAATAAGTTTGGAGAAAGAATTCGTTACACGTATCCTTAGATGCTAGCGTGAAAATGGAAATTCGAAATACTTAAATTTCGATGATATTTAAATATATCATTATAATATAAGGAAATATGACAATAATCACAGGATGACACGACATCAATTAGTATTTACTATTGTATTTTTCTGATATATTAGAGGGCTAATCGGATGTAGATATTATTTTTCTATACCTTTGTTAATTACACCGTCCATATTTACGGTAGACGAATTAAATTATTCTTCTGCGTTATATATACATAATTAATAATTATTATTCCAAAAAATAAGCTTTTCATACAACTAAATTTTGTATGCGTCGATTAAATTAATATGCAGAGCGCGTAAGATTATTGATTATGCATGATAATGATTGGTCTCGTTATCGTAAGCGAACGATATACCTGCGTTCATTGTTAATAATACTCGATGACGCGTGATGTAAGTAGAACCATCGTTTGATGTACTCGATTTTCTCGATAGTGCAAAAGTAGGTCTTGGGATAGCATATAATCCTTCGCCTTCCGCAAAGTTTACGCCTGAATGCAGACGAGTTTGTAATTGATTACGAACGATGACAAGGATCGTTGTTTCTAGATTATAACGGCTTATTAAGTTCCCCTAATGGACACTGTTAATTGAAGAATTTAACCGTCTAGTATCGGGCAAAATGTGCATTACATAATACAGAATTTTGATTACTTATGATATAAAGGGAGTGCATAATATACAGAATACATTGTGCATATACATATGTATATGTATGAATTATGTTTCTCTGATCTCTGAAAACTCGTAGGTAACAGGTATACGATAATTTTGATCGCGATGAATTCTCTGTCAAATATTCACTCGTATTAAACTTTGAATATTTGCGCCAAATATGACATTAATGTTGTACGAATGAACTGCATTTTCTATTATTCCCATAAAGTAAAAGAATGTAAATATACCTCAAATACGCATGTATTGAATTTCGGAAAAAACGTGTCACTGCGACGAATATTTTTTAATATAAAATTAAATGCTGCTCGATTATATCGATTTGCGAGAAAATCTGCTTTGTTTGAGAGATACTTTGAAATATTTAAAATGCACGAAGAAGAACGGTAAGTCAAGATTAAGTCTGTGTCTCGCTTTTTTTTTTGTACAGTCGTACCATCAAATATGTTGTATGCATAATGGAAACGGGGGAAGGGAAGGGAGAAAATATATGACGCTGAAACTTTCCTTCTCAGCCGCCAACTGCACGCCTAGAAATATATTTCTGATCATAATGAAAAACCTTCGATCGGAATTTCCGCCAATATTGCTTGCTATTATATTTAGCTCGCGTCGATCGGATTTTTTGAGATGTTCTTCATTTTTTTTTTTATATCGAATTGTACAGTATTATTTTTGATATGCAGAATACAATACAATATTTCATAACAGGAAGACAATGTAAAATACAATCTGATTTTGCAGTTAGTGATTGCATTGTAATCTTTTCATCCAACATTTGTTTTCAAAAGTTATGTAAAAATATACGTTCAAAAATATATATATACATATATATATATATATATATATATATATATATATATATATACACATTCTTAAACATTTTTTACATTAATATTTCAAAAATTATATATGTATATATAAATATTATCTCTCTTTAAAAAATGAGAGTGTACTTAATAAATCAAAATAGAATCGAGAGCCGAATATATTTAATTATATATAGCTTTCATAATTATAGAATTATTAAATAAATATGATTTGATTTTATCGTTGATTTTCGATATTTTACATGATTATTTCTATTTGATTTCTATATTAATCTCGATTAACTTGATAGAGAATATATCACTATCATGGAACGAGAAAATATTGCAAGTAAAAGATAAATGTCACGCGCTTAAATATACATTTTATACAATGAGGACAAGTTGCAAGGTATCGATATTCTCCCATCGTATTATCAGTGCAAAAACGTATTTGATAAAAAGTTAGGCAAGCACGGACTAACGCAGTGGCACGCTGTTTTCTCACAAATTGCGGAAAAACAATTCGCCGGTAAAACGTCCGATCATGGGAAACGGTTTGGCAAAAAAATCACTAACCACGGCCTGTCCGTATAACACACTGACCTCAAACCGTTTCGCATCTCTGACCATTCCCAACAATACACAGATTTAACCTAGTGCATATACATACATACACACATATATATCTGCATGTGCATTTCATATGGTCAGAAAACCGCAAGAGTTCTCTCTCTCTCTCTCTCTCTCTCTCTCTCTCTCATCAATCTCCCTCAAATCAGTACGTCGTGATGTCATGCGTTTTAACCTTATCGACAATTCGATGCTCGGTTGGAACGTTCAGGCAGATTTTAACGCTTTTTACGAAACTGTGCTGCGGCAGACAGCAGCCAAATGAGTATTGATTTTAACTTCGCGGCCGGCATCGCTGTATAACTGCAATCAAATCGCATTTTCAATAGCAGTATAAATAAGTTTGTTACCAGCCTTTGAATCATTATGTTGATTTTATGATGTACACTGTTGTAGCGACTTGATAGGATAATCGTCGCTCGTATATAATTCCCTCATTAATTTACCGTGACATAACAATTATAAATGCTATATCATTATTAATAGTATAATGTTATATTATTAGTATAATATAATAGTTTGATCGAAGCATATACCATACCATTAAAAATGTTATCGTGTAATATTATAGAAATATCCTACTAATTGCAACTTTAGTTTGCAATACATGAAAGAAATTTTAATAATTATTTTGTGGCTTGTTAGAATATCGTGTTATCTCCTGCAGAAATTGTGAAATCGAATCGGCTGTTACATCCAATGTTACGTACCATTAATTAGCCAACTGTTTCGATGCAATTGTAATTAATACGTTAACCAGATTGTATTTGGACCTCCTATACATTTCATCTTTCTCCCCCGCGCTACAAATTAATTTGGCGAACGGAATGAGAAACCATTGCGGGTGTATGTGTGCATATATACGTTCATTGTAGATTAAAAGGTTGGCGTCCTTTCGCATAAAGCTATATTGTAAATAAATTACGAAAGCTGCTATACATATGTATATCGACAAATTTTCAATTTGCCGATAATACTCAAACATACGATCAGCATAACCATTGATAAAATCACTTTAGCCTCATTTAATAAGTGATGCACTAATTTATATTAATTTTCAGAAATCAACGTTATTTTATCCTCTGGAAAATATATATATAAAATTATGAACGAAAATTGAAAATTGATCAAATTTATTATACTGCTATTTTAATTTATTAAATATTTGTTTATATATATATATATATATATATATATATATATTAATGTAACATCATTTTTTGACAACGTCGGATACGTGATCGTAATTATATACCTCAATGGAGCGCGTGGAGTACGTTTAACCTGCGGACGGCTGATATATCTTTGACCATAACTACTGCAACAAAATTATTTATTATTAATCATGCATATATTATTAAAAAAATTTTCTAAAAGATATTTTACATTATATATATATATAAAATTTTTTAATAATTTATGCGTAATGATGAGAAATAATGGTTCGCAGTAGTTACGGTCGAAGATATGTCAGGCGTTTTCGAGTTAAACGTCGCCGATGCGCTCTATCGAGGTATGTGATTTCGATCACACACCTAACGATGGCAATACAATTTATCATACTGTTATTTCTATTTTATTAAATATATATATATATATATATATATATATATATATAATTAATGTAACATCATTTTTTGACAACGTCGGATACGCGATTGAAATAATACTTTGATGGAGCGCGTCGAGTACGTTTAACCTGCGGACGGCTGATATATCTTTGACCATAACTACTGCAACAAAATTATTTATTATTAATCATGCATAAATTATTAAAAATTTTTCTAAAAGATATTTTACATTATATATATATAAAATTTTCTAATAATTTATGCGTAATGATGAGAAATAATGATTTGCAGTAGTTACGCTTGAAGATATGTCAGGCGTTCTCGAATTAAACGTCGCCGATGGGCTCTATCGAGGTATGTGATTTCGATCACGCATCTAATGGCAATACAATTTATCATACTGTTATTTCTATTTTATTAAATATTTATCTATATGTATATATACAGTATATATATATATATATATAATTAATGTAACATTATTTTTGGACAACGTCAGATACGCGATCGACATAATACTTCGATAGAGAGAGAGAGAGTGCGTCGAGTACGTTAATCCTGCGGACGGCTGATATATCTTTGACCATAACTACTGCACCAAATTTATTTAATATTAATCATGCATAAATCATTAAAAATTTTTTTCTAAAAGATATTTTACATTATATATATATAAAATTTTCTAATAATTTATGCGTAATGATGAGAAATGATTTGTCGCAGTAGTTACGGTCGGAGATATATCAGACGCTTCGATTAAACGTCTTCGATGCGCTCTATTCAGGTATGTGATTTCGATCACGCACCTGACGATGACAAAAAATGTATCATACTGTTATTTCTATTTATTAAATATTTATCTATACGTGTATATATATATATATATATATATATATATATATATATATATATATATATATATATAAAATTAATGTAACATCATTTTTTGTCAACGTCGGATACGCGATCGTAATTATATACCTCAATGGAGCGCGTCGAGTACGTTTAACCTGCGGACGGCTGATATATCTTTGACCATAACTACTGCATCAAATTTATTTATTATTAATCATGCATAAATCATTTAAAAAATTTTCTAA